GGGCGGGGGTCCCCGTACTCCCCTTGCCCGCCGCGGGCGCCGCCGCCAGCAGCACCAGCAGGACCTGCAGCAGCAGCGCCGGCGGCCTCGGCGCCGTCCCGGGGCGCATGGTGGGCGCTGGCTCCGACCCCAGCGAGTCCAGGGAGCGGCAGGCTCTCGGGCCACTGTGTCCCCTGCGCGGCCGGGTCGGGGAGCCCTGGCTGTGCAGCTCGCCTCGCCAGCCCGCCGGGAGGGTTTTGTAGGGCTCAGCCGCGTCGTCCGTCCCTCCCCACCCAGGATTTTGGTGTGGCTCCAAGGGAGGCAAGAAGTGGCTCAGGTCCCGCCCTCATCCCCCCCTTCCTCCCAACTCACCAGGCACTGTCCCTGCGACCCGGGCACCGTGCCCAGGACGGGAGAGAGACGCCTGCGGGGCAGGTGGGCGCGGATCCAGAGGAAGGGGCTCAGGAGATGATGCTCCCAAGGTCCCGGGGCCCAGGCAGGGTAGAGGGGTACGGGCCGGAGGTGGGGACTCTGGGGGTGGCAGCGCGGGGTGGAGGGAGTGGCCCGCGGCCCTGCCCACACTGAGCGGAAGGGGCTCCGGGCTCCGCGCCGGGGAGGCTACGCTGCGTCCGGCCACTTTCCGCTTCTCCAACCTGCGCTCGGCCCTGAGAGCGCGTGAAGACGCAGCGGGGCCCGGGAGGATCTGTGCGCGTCCTGCGGGCGGGCGACGAGGCAGCTCCGGGCGCTGCAGGAGTGTCCCCCCCCCCCCCCCCCCACAGTCGCTGTCCCAGGGCCTGGGGCACCTGCCTGCGGGTGGGGGGCGGGGGGAAGGAAGTGTGGTGTCCTACTAGGGAGTTGTGGCCAGGAGTTACCAGAGGACAGCTGGTCTGCCTGGGCTTGAACTGGGCACTGTGTGTTTTGATTAATTTGGAGGCTCCAGTTACCGGCCTGGCAGTCGGGCAGCTCCAAAATGCCAAGAGCCAGAGGCAGCTGAGGAGAAAGAGAAAACCCATCCTATTCCCTGCGGAGTTGAACTGCCTTTTCAGGCTAAATCTTATCTGCGGAAATGCAGGAGAAAACAAGACCCAGCTCTGGTGCAGGTGTCTCCCTCCTGAGAGTGCTCTTCATGGAGGTGGCCCTGGATGCGAATATACAGTATCTGTCTTCTTAGGGCACCGTCTTCCAGCAGGGCTCTGGCCCTGTCTGGTGCCACGGACCACATTGGCTTAGTGAAGCATTTAGTACCCTTTTCAGAATAATGTTGTTAAATGCATACAATGCAATTAAATCAGAATCAGTTTTACTGGAATACAATGATCACATACTGAAATCATGATATAGTAATATTCTTGCATTAAGTAGCTAGACCTAACAGCAGGTTGACTAAACAGCTGAAATACCATGGTAGTGTTGACTGCAAGTGGTATTTTGAGGTAACTGTCCAAAGTGAAATGTGACATGAGTAGGTGCAAACTCTCAAGAACTGCCAGTGCTAGATTGCATTAAGTAGCTAGACCTAACAGCAGGTTGACTAAACAGCTGAAATACCATGGTAGTGTTGACTGCAAGTGGTATTTTGAGATAACTGTCCAAAGTGAAATGTGACATGAGTAGGTGCAAACTCTCAAGAACTGCCAGTGCTAGTGTGGTCTGTCTCCTGCACTCATAACTGAAGGAGACGCTGAACTTCTGGGAAGATTAGTGAAAGTAAAGATATAATTTTTTTCCCCATCCGAGTTCATGGACCACCTGAATTCCATCCTCAGGTTAAGAACCCCTGCTCTGGAGCAGTGCTACTGACATCTGCAGTATCTGCTTATCAAATGCCAAGTATGAACTACGAGGTTGGTCACTACAGGAGGGAACCACGCGCTTGCAATTAGAATCGGGTCTAACAGTACCTTAGGCTTCTGTAGCCAGGCAGGTAGGCTAAACCTTAACAGTGAATGCAGACAGCCTCTGTACCCCACCTTTTTTTTTTTATTTATTTTTTTTTTTACTGTGGAGTGAATCTTCCATCTGTCTTTTATGCTGGTGATTCTCAACTGTGGCTGTGCATTGGAATCTCCTGAGGAGTGTTCAAAAATCCTGATATCCAGTCCCTGCCAAACCAATTATATCAGACTCTCTAGTGGTGGGAATCAGGTATCAGTATGTTTTAAAGCTCCCTGGAGATTCCTATGTGCAAACAAGTTTGAGAGCCACTGTTTTACATACATATTTTGGTTAGCTGCATTGAATTAAGGTCTCTTCTTAGTACAATAATAAAAGGAACAGGTATTAAACTCTTTTTAAAGACTTAGGAACACTGTGGAATGTGTGCTCAGACCTTAGATATTGCAGTGTGGTATGTAGTAGCTTCCCATTGATAGGGAAGGTTCTTATGGAATCTTCTGCCATCCCTGTGGGATAGGGCAGCGGGTTCTCTGCTGCTAAAGTGACAGTGTCCAAGAATTCCAAGACGTGTCTCATTAATCTTTCTTGAACTGACATTACTTCCTGAAAACAAAAACAAAAGCAAAAAATCTTCATGCTAATGTTAAACGCTCCTTCTCTTTGCTGAATCCTAGAAGATGTCTAAATTTGAATTTTAATTGCCTTTTTCTGAAACCAAGTCATTGTGATGAGAGACCGGACTTGTCTTTATCATCTTTGGAATGGAAGGTGGCAGTCAACTGCAGGTCACTTCTGCCGCAGCAATGGGACAGGGAAGAAACTTGTGATACAAATACAGTGAGGATGAAGCAATGGTTAAGAGCATGGTCTCTGGAGTAGACTCCGGATTTTGAATCCTTCCTATACTTACTAAGGTGGCCTAACCTCTCCGGGTTGGAGTCTTCTCTTCTGAAAATTGGGATAATCATGGTACCCACCTCAAGTAGTTGTAAGAATCTTATAATCCATCAAAATCCCTTTGCCCAGAGTCTTCATTTAACAGTCACATATTGGAAAGTGATTCTTAGTTGCATAAAGGAAAATAGGTGAACCTGATGAGAAATGCTGGCACGAGGTAGAGATTCTCTTCTGAGCTCAGGACTAAAGGGACAAGAGTCAAGCACAGCCCATTAACCCACTTGAGGTTAATATATTTCTAAGGCATCTAGAATCTTGCTTTGGCATCTCTGGGACCAGCAGCTTCAGCCTCCCAGGGAGCTTGTTAGAAATGAAGAATCTCAGGCTCCACCCAGACCCACAGAATCAGAGGCTACATTCACCAAGATCTCCAGGTAATCCATACACATGAAACTTTGAGAAGTGGTTTATCTAAAAGCCAAATTTAACTGCTTATTCCCCACCTCCCCAATATACCTCCTCTCCTTTTGTACAATGTTTGGTATGCTCACCAGGTGGTGTTAATTAACCAGAATTCTTGGTTTTTTAAAAAAAATAGTCTTGGGTCAAGAGAGCTGATTTTTCACAGTTGGTTCTTTAAATGTGAAAAAGCAAAAGAAAAGAAGGGGCAGTTCTTTTTGTACATACAAAGGACACAGAGATCTCTATTTTTTATTTTAATACCAGACAGAGGTTTTCAAAAAAATGAAGTGCTCATTGCCTCTGACAAGACCTATATAATTATTTTTGCCCCATTTTTTCCCCCCTTTTTGTCTTTTTTACTGACTGGTAACGGGATCGCAACCCTCGGTGTCGTGCTCGTACCAGGGACCAGCAACGGGATCGCAACCCTTGGTGTTGCGCCCGCACCGAGCTCAGCCAGTGAGCGGGAACCAGTCTCCACATGGGATCTCGTATAACTTCGTATAATGTATGCTATACGAAGTTATTACGTGGTTAAATGGTAGCAAAGCCTAAAATCCATTTCTCCTAACACTTGGGTACTTCTAATACATACAAAAAGCTATTTGAATTAGGCATTCAAATACATACAATAGTTCTCAAACTTGAGTGTGCTAAGAATCACAGGAGTCCCTTGAAAAATCCCCTTCCCTCAGGTCTTTGGGCAAAAGAATCTACATTTTTAACAGACATCCCAGATGACTGATGAGTGGTCTACAACCACCCTTTGAAAAACAGCTGCTGCTCTATAACTACTTAAATAATAGCCTCTGAACAGAAATGCTCACACTGTAACAACTGAAATTTGTAAACTAAATTCTGTTCTCCACAAGTGGACTATAAAATTGGCCCATTTTGCCCCATTTTGTAATGACAATATAATGTCTGTTTTAAACACAGTGTTTAAATATGTTGTATCTGCTTCCCTGCATGTCAATGTAAACCCCATTAGGGCAGGACCTTTTCTGAGTTCTTTACTGTTGTTGAATGAATGAATGGATGAAGTCATTACTATTTGCTGAATGAATGAATGAAGTTGAACTATTTGTCGAATTCACCCAGCAATCACACCCAGGTCTGTTTTCTTCCAGAGTTTATGGTCTTCCTGTAGCCTTCATTGTATGGGGATGTGCCTCTGCTTTTGATGGCTGCCTATAGCTGCTGCTTTAATCTTTTTTTCTTCATCTCTCCTCTTAGTTATCCCTTTCTTTCAAGAACTTTCTCTTTTCAACACCTCTGAAACAATTAGACTCTTGGGTGCTTTTATAGAGTGATACAACTCATGTCAGTTCTTGCCAGCACAATTCTGGATTCTTTCACTGTTTTTCTAAACTCACAGCTCCTGCCCTAGTGCCTGCACTTACCATCTATGGATTCTGGTTGCCTTTTGGCTAGTTTTCTTCCCTGCAGGTTCTCTCCTCTGAAACCCATCTTCTGTGTTATAGTCAGAGTTACCATTTAAAATTGCACGTTGTGGCAGTAAGAACAGGTTACTTTTGGAGCCGTTTACAAAAAACTCCCCCAAGCCAGAGGCTTCCAGTCAGGAGTTTTTCCTCCATTTATACTAGATATTCATCGCAGGATGCGGGGAAGTGGAAGCATGTCAGTAGGGGCTCTGCTTATCATAGCCACTCAGGGACCTCCTGGAAATTCCCTCTCAACATGTTTTTCTCTGATCATTTCAGAAGGGGAAGAGAATGAGCCAAATCAAAAACTGCTCTAAAAACTTCCACCTGGATGTAACATATGCTACTTCCATGCACATTTCATTATCCAAACCAGTTATGTGACCATGCTTCGTTCTGTAAAGGGCAGGGAAACGAAACCTACCACATG